GAGTAGCTCTGCACTTCATGAATGGTCCTGTAGTCTTCTGGGACCTGTCACACGTCCCGAAAGACTACAGGGAGGGAGGGTAGGAGGACACCCTTCCGCTTCCAATCGCCTAGGCCAGTGGTGGGCAACCTTTTTTTTCAACTGAGCCAAATCTCGCCAAAACCACGATTGAAATTTATTTTGAGAGCCACATTTTTAAAACTGAAAATACATCTCCCATATAGTAATTCATCCCCCATAGTAATTCATCCCCCATATAGTAATTCATCCCCCATAGAGTAATTCATCCCCCATATAGTAATTCATCCCCCATATAGTAATTCATCCCCCATAGTAATTCATCCCCCATATAGCAATTCATCCCCCATAGCAATTCATCCCCCATATAGTAATTCATCCCCCATATAGTAATTCATCCCCCATATAGTAATTCATCCCCCATATTAATTCATCCCCCATAGTAATTCATCCTCCATATAGTAATTCATCCCCCATAGTAATTCATCCCCCCATAGTAATTCATCCCCCATAGTAATTCATCCCCCATATAGTAATTCATCCCCCATATAGTAATTCATCCCCCATATATTAATTCATCCCCCATAGTAATTCATCCCCCATATAGTAATTCATCCCCCATAGTAATTCATCCCCCATAGTAATTCATCCCCCATAGTAATTCATCCCCCATATAGTAATTCATCCCCCATATAGTAATTCATCCCCCATAGTAATTCATCCCCCCCATAGTAATTCATCTCCCATATAGTAATTCATCTCCCATATAGTAATTCATCCCCCATATAGTAAGTCCCCCATATAGTAAGTCCCCCCCCATATAGTAAGTCCCCCCCCCCATATAGTAAGTCCCCCATATAGTAAGTCCCCCCCCCCCATATAGTAAGTCCCCCCATATAGTAAGTCCCCCATATAGTAATTCATCCCCCATATAGTAAGTCCCCCCTGTGTCAATTCACTTACCTTTGCTCCGCGCGTTCCTCTCGCCGTGCTTCCCGCGCCGTTCTGGTCTTCAGGGCGGACTGTGAGAGGAGAGGAGTTCGTCACGCTGCCCCGCCTACATCCTGGCTGCCCCGCCTACATCCTGACAGCTGCAGAGTCCTGACTTTTGGGACGGCCGCCCGAGAGGAGGGAGGGGAGCGGGCGGCCGTCCGAGAGGAGGGAGGGGAGGTGGGGAGGTGGGGCGGCCGCCCTGCACACGCCCGTCCGAGAGGAGGGAGAGGAGGGAGGGGAGCGGGCGCCCGGCACACAGAAGAGCCGCATTTAAGCTTGTAAAGAGCCGCATGTGGCTCGCGAGCCGCGGCTTGCCGACCACTGGCCTAGGCGATCGGACCGGAAGTGGGATCGGGTACCTGTCAAATGCGGGTACCAACTCCCCCTCCCCACCCCCACAGGTGTCAATCCTTAATGGGGAGCGGGGGGAGCAGTCCTTAAAGTGGAACTTCCCCTTTTGGGTGGAGCTCTGCTTTAATGTCTTGCCTAAGAGCAGACATCACAACTCTATTAGAAATTGTTTTGTCTAAAAGAAAGGTATACTTAACTTGATCCATGGTACCAAAGGCTTCCTCCCCACTGGTTCCGGTAAAGACGACCAGGCCCCAAATGTGTACTATTTCTTTGGTTATACCCTTGCCAATGTCATCTACATGCAGGGTCAATAGGCCCTAGGAGTCCTGCATTGTATGTGATGATGTTGAGGGCCTGTCTACATTCTGGGGAAGGAGGAAAGAAGACTAGATCTTCAACTCCTGCTACTCTGTATTAGCTCCTCCTAAACAAATTGAGAATGTTGGTGTCATCTCACTCATTTATTATTTTTAGCTGGACTGTTGTTCAGCTTTAAAGTCTTAAGTGTTCATGTCTTGCCTAGCAGTAGACATCGCAATATGTTCGATTTTACCAATTATTAGCCAAAAAGCCTATTCTCTGACCCTCTTTCATTTAGTTTCATCCTGCTACTACTGGGGCCTGACTTTCCCAAACTTCAGTATGAAAAACTGGGGTTCTGTCTAAACCACCTGCTGAATTAATCTTTTCTAATTTTTTTTATTAAAGTGGAACTGCACTGCATCTGAGCACCACAAACCAAAAAAGCTATATAATTAATTTTTAATATGCAAAGCAAACTCCTCCATCCATCTGTATGTGAGATGGGGAAACAGCTCTCATTGTTTGAACACTGTTTGTGTGCAGTAAATTATTGTGTGGAGTAATTGATGTTTTGACTGACATTCTGCGGTTTAGCCGCAAGATGTCACTGTTTTTCTAACACAGGCTCAGACTGCATAGATATTTGTATATTCCTGAAGAGGTGGGGTTTTCACACAGGGTTTAGAGAAAACAGGAAGAGGAGACTGCAGCCATGTTTTTGGAAAATGCTGAATGAGGGGCCTGTGTGAGCTAAGAATCCGATGACATCCTGGTGTGGGAGCTTCCCTCCATGGCCAGAACTGAAGCTGGGTGAAGCTGATTGTGTCCAAGACCCTGATCCTGTTCAGAGAAAGGAAGATTGCTGCCAGTAATGCTGATGAGAGCAGAGGAACAACGCAGCATACACTGCAATATCGCAAGCTTGTTGGAGAGACGGTTGTTCTGTTCAGAGTCACCAGCGGATGGAAAGCAGACCCGGGTCGGTAAGATCATGCACGCACCTCATTTCAATGTTGGCGCCTTGAGACTGAGGCCAGTCCTATAGTTAGGGTCTCTGTTTGTGTCCGGCCACAAGTTTTGTTACTGATTATTGGAAGGACTCCCCAACTTAAAGTGACATTTCACATTGGAGAGCTGATAAAATCCTACAAACTCATGCCAGTCTGGCATTTTGCTCAGAAGGAATACTCAGGCACGTGCTACAGGACCAGTTATGGGAGGGGGAATACTGTAGATTTGTGTAAGATTGTAAGCTGTTGTGCTGTACTGCAGGCTAGCCCATACCGTACACCCATACACTGATTCCTGCTCTTTTAGGGTAATAACAGGTAAGGTGTGGCAGCTTAGTTGTGCCCGCCAGTAGGTAAATTACTACAGCTTCTACCTTCATCCATCAGAAGGCGCTGTGCTGTGCAGCACAAGGATCTCAGCCTTTGGGCTGGGTGTATGTACATTTATTGTATGTTCTCAGCATTTGTGGTTGTGTTTATTTGCCACATCTAAGTAAAATTCTGTTGTGGCAAAAGCTGGTGTTGGGGTTGCTTTCCTCATTCGTGACTTCACTGTAGCCTGGGGAGCCCACCCCGGTACATGGCTTACATGTATCTCCATGCTTTATTTTGGTGAGAAAATCATTTTGAAAAACACCTCCTGGTTTTTCTAGCAGTGGCCATCTTAAGTAAGGGCAGATGATTCATGTGGCAGTTACATCCTGGACGTCATCTGCCCCTAGCTCAGGCATTGGCTGAACTGAAAACCCTCCCTCCCCTCCTGAAGACTCCTGGGATGTATGACATAATTTGCCTAGGCATGGAAACCAGGAAGTAAATGAAGAAATGCAAAAAAGGTTAAAACAAGCAAATAAGATATACTTTCCTATCTATTTACTAATGCTACTAGGATAAGTGTCAGGGCTCCGGGTATGACCAGAGGTGTGTGGACTGACACAGGGAAACGCAGGCTTAAGATATGGTATAAACAATATAATTTATTAAGACTAACAATACAAAACGCAGTGCAAAACTAAACAAAAACACAGTGCAAACAAACCTAACCAAACCACCCACAGATAACAATACATACAATGCAAGAGTCGTCAGGCAGGCCGGGTCAGTAGCAAACGGGCAAACGGAGTAACAGGAACAGGCGGGAGAGTGGTCGGGGTCACAAGCTGGGTACAGTAACTCACAGGCAGCGCAGTGCAGAGGGTCAGGCAGAGAATGGTCAGGGTCACAAGCCAGGGATCAAGCAGGAGAAGTCAGCAGAGGTCAGGATCAGGCAGGGTCGGCAACAAGTCAGACAGGAACAGGAACAGGATACAAGATACAGGGGCCCATGGAAAAACACACACCAAGGCCCTGACTGTGACTCTGGACATTCCTTAAATACAACCCCCGCAATCAGCTTCAGGTGTTTGGCTGATTGCAGGGGTGAGTCTCTGATTGCTGAGAGCACCCGCTGGCCAGCCCTGGTACTGCAGCCCACAAGGCAGGTGAGTCCCACCATTATTGGCAAGTCCATATCTGACAGTACCCCCCCCCCTCAAGGAGCTGCCTCAGGACGCTCCAAACAGTCCTAGCTGGGCAAAATATTCCACCGCCCAGGTCCGGTAACTGGCGGGATATCAAAGACTGGCACATCGGCTGGGCACTGGACAGAGGCACATCGGGCTGGGCACCGGACAGAGGCACATCGGGCTGGGCACCGGATCACCAGGCGGAGCAGCGGGCACCGGGCCACCAGGCAGGGCAGCAGGCACCGGGCCACCAGGCAGGGCGGCAGGCACCGGGCCACCAGGCAGAGCGGCAGGCACCGGGCCACCAGGCGGAGCGGCAGGCACCGGGCCACCAGGCGGAGCGGCAGGCACTGGGCCACCAGGCAGGGCGGGAGGCACCGGGCCCCCAGGCGGAGCGGCAGGCACCGGCCCCCAGGCGGAGCGGCAGGCACCGGGCCCCCAGGCGGAGTGGCGGGCACCGGGCCCCCAGGCAGAGCAGCAGGCACTGAGTCATCTGGCAAGACCGCGGGCACCGAGTCATCTGGCAAGATCGCGGGGCACACGAGTCATCTGGCAAGACCGTGGGCATCGGGTCACCAGGCATCAGGTCATCTGGCTCGACAGCGGGTATCGGGTCATCAGGCACGACAGCGGGCATCGGGTCACCAGGCATGACAGCGGGCACTGGGTCATCAGGCATTGGATCGTCTGGCTCGACAGCGGGCATCGGGTCACCAGGCATCAGGTCATCTGGCTCGACAGCGGGCACCGGGTCATCAGGCACGACAGTGGGCATTGGGTCACCAGGCATGACAGCGGGCACTGGGTCATCAGGCATTGGATCGTCTGGCTCGACAGTGGGCATCGGGTCATCAGGCACGACAGCGGGCATCGGGTCACCAGGCATCAGGTCATCTGGCTCGACAGCGGGTATCGGGTCATCAGGCACGACAGCGGGCATCGGGTCACCAGGCATGACAGCGGGCACTGGGTCATCAGGCATTGGATCGTCTGGCTCGACAGCGGGCATCGGGTCACCAGGCATCAGGTCATCTGGCTCGACAGCGGGCACCGGGTCATCAGGCACGACAGTGGGCATTGGATCACCAGGCATGACAGCGGGCACTGGGTCATCAGGCATTGGATCGTCTGGCTCGACAGCGGGCATCGGGTCACCAGGCATCAGGTCATCTGGCTCGACAGCGGGCACCGGGTCATCAGGCACGACAGTGGGCATTGGGTCACCAGGCATGACAGCGGGCACTGGGTCATCAGGCATTGGATCGTCTGGCTCGACAGCGGGCATCGGGTCACCAGGCATCAGGTCATCTGGCTCGACAGCAGGCACCAAGTCATCTGGCAAGACAGTGGGCACCGAGTCAGGCACGACAGCGGGCATCGGGTCACCAGGCATCAGGTCATCTGGCTCGACAGCGGGCACCGCGTCATCTGGCAAGGCAGTGGGCACCGAGTCACCAGGCACAACAGCGGGCTCTGATTCAACTGGCACTACAGCGGGCACCGGGTCACCAGGCACGACAGCGGGCTCTGAGTCAACTGGCAGGATGGTACTGGTTGGAAAGAATTTTCTCTTTTTTCTCGTTTTAGTTACTGGAGCACTGTAAGTAAACGCAGGTCTGTAAATGAATGGAGCAGCTGAAGACAGAGAAGAGCTGGAGGATGGAACAGAGGAGGGAGCAGTTGCTATAGAGGACTTCTTTACAGGGTTAAAGAAAGGATAGGTGCAGCGAGTGGGAGCAGGGGACGGATATGAGGTAGTTAGCAGAGTATACTGGGCCGTCACTGGGGGTGCTGTCGGGGATGCAGGAAGAGTGCCTTGAGCAGAGGAATGATGTTGCAAGCTGACTGAGGCTGGGTGCAACAAATCTGTCCATGTCTGCAGTACTGGTTGAACAAAACTCAGCTTACACATAGCCTGTCTGACCAAAGACTGCACTTGCGTTTATGCAATCCATAAGCACATGTGATGGACAAGCTGCATAATGCTCATTGAAGCAATCTGGATCATCCTCCAACAACCATACCAGTGATTCCACTTGATCCACACTAAATGGGGGAAAAAAAGTAATTCCTGCTTTCAGGGGTACAGGACCAAGCCAACTCAGCACAAACCTGGATCAATGGTTGCACCTCAGAAAACTCTGTGCCCTGATCTACTAGGCAATGAGCGATCCTTATACACTCTAGTAGTTGATCCCTGGTATACTCCTTCAGAGTCTGATAAGCATAGTCTTTGTCATCAAACACTAGCAGAGATAAATACACCACCTCCTCAAGATCCATCCTTCCCAGCAACAATAAGCCAAGATGGCTTCCCTGTGCAGCCACTTCTGGTCAGGTTTTGGCCTTGGTGTAATGTCAGGGCTCCGGGTATGACCAGAGGTGTGTGGACTGACACAGGGAAATGCAGGCTTTAGATATGGTATAAACAATATAATTTATTAAGACTTACAATACAAAACGCAGTGCAAAACTAAACAAAAACACAGTGCAAACAAACCTAACCAAGCCACCCACAGATAACAATACATACAATGCAAGAGTCATCAGGCAGGCCAGGTCAGTAGCAAACGGGCAAACGGAGTACCAGGAACAGGCGGGAGAGTGGACGGGGTCACAAGCTGGGTACAGTAACGCACGGGCAGCGCAGTGCAGAGGGTCAGGCAGAGAATGGTCAGGGTCACAAGCCAGGGATCAAGCAGGAGAAGTCAGCAGAGGTCAGGATCAGGCAGGGTCGGCAACAAGTCAGACAGGAACAGGAACAGGATACAAGATACAGGGGCCCATGGAAAAACACACACCAAGGCCCTGACTGTGAGTCTGGCCATTCCTTAAATACAACCCCCGCAATCAGCTTCAGGTGTTTGGCTGATTGCAGGGGTGAGTCTCTGATTACTGAGAGCACCCGCTGGCCAGCCCTGGTACTGCAGCCCACAAGGCAGGTGAGTCCCACCATTATTGGCAAGTCCATTCCTGACAATAAGGATCACAAATAGTCCATTTTGATTGAGAGAGTGAAAATGTTGACTGAAAAGCAACTGCAGCCAATCAGCTGCAGTCACTGTGCAAGTGTTCTAACTGCTGAGGGTTCCGAATGTCAGAGTGCAGTAGCCATATATACAAAGTCAATGAAAGACAAACAGTATGAGAGTCCAAAAACCTTTAATATGGTTCACAAACAACAACACAGGACAGCCAATGTGTTTTGGGATCTCAACGACCTTACCCCTCACTTCAGAGTTTAAACATAATGGGTAATCATATGGACACAAAAATGGCACAAATCATCGGGAGTAAATTATTTGTTGCATAGAACATCAATGGATCAGTTTTGTTGGTTAATACATTCTGGCCTATGTAGCAAATAATTCACTCATGGTGTATAAGCCCTAAAGAAGGGGTGTCAGCAAGCCACAGTAACGAGTGGGCTGATCTGTGTTGTTGTTTATGAACCAATACTATTAGGAAAGATCTTTGAACTTTCTTACTATGTATTTGGTGCTCTTATTGGATTTTATACATGTGAAACTTAATATCTGGACCCCTTGTTTGAGGGATACCCTGTCTTTGTCATAAGCTGCCTAAACAGAGCTATTGTGCCTTATTGCATTCTGACCAATCTTCCAGGAATTTGAATCCAATGCCTCAGAATACAATAGCCGGCATCCACACTCACCTGAATGAGAGAAATCTTTATGGGTATGGCCAGCTTTAGAGTCCAGCTATACCAATATCTAAACCCTGAGGAAGGGGAAACCTTCTAACTTCAAAGCGTGTTGTATTGTTGTCTTTGGTATCTTTTGATTTCTGTGATGAAATACTTGGACTATACTTTTGGTATAGCACCCTTATTCTTTATTCTTCCCTTATTAATGCACCTTCCATTGTCCATTCAAGGTACCATTGAGGCCATATCATGTTAGAATGTTGCCTAGCCAGAGTAATAATACTCTGTAGTATGGACTCACCTGCACACTGAGTAATGAAATCCAATTCAGATCCATCACCTCCCATCTACATCTTCTAAGCAATTAAAGTTGAACTCTGGGCTAATTATTATTATTATACAGTATTTATATAGCGCCAATGGGTATGCTCAGCGCTGTACAGTAGCAAGGGGGACAGAACATGAAACAAGACAGTAACAATACACTACACAAGGGGTTCGAGGGCCCTGCTTTTTCGAGCTTACAATCTATGAGGGAGGGGAAGGTGGCACAGGAGGAGATGGCTGTGGGGGATGGAGTGGCGGGAGGAGTGGAGGAGGTTAGTTGTTAGGTGAGGCTAATGAAGTGCACCACCCGCCACTGTAAGGGTTAAATGCTTGTTTGGTCTAGGGGCATTGAAAGCAATAGTAATACTCACTTGCCCCCCAGGTAGGTTGCACTCTTCTCCATCTTTTGATGATCTGGCTTGTGAGTGGGCCCTCATTCTCCTCACCTCTCTGATGTTATCACCCTGACGTCAATGGTCCTGCATTGTGCATGATGACAACGGGCAGAGCGGTACACAGAAGCAGCTTTGGGGGATCCGTTGTTCAGCTGAGATTAACTCAATGGGAACAAAGATTAATGTTAGTATGAGTACTTATTTCTAGACAAAACAGTCCACGTAGTGCTGTGTGGTGGCCATAGCATTGTTAAATTTTACAGTAACCATGAGCTGGGTTTTAAACCCTAACAGAGGTTCTCAACACTTCCATACTATGTCCAAAAAAAAAAAAAAAGTTTTGTCTATATATACACACAATACATTTATAATCATGCATTTCCAGACACATAAAAGGTCAACTCAGCAAACAAGAAATTCCAAATCTAATAAAGTTTCCATAAGCTACATCTTAGGGCTCCTTTACAGTATTGCATTGCACGTCACACTCATTAGTTGCGCCACAGTGCCATCCATTCTGAATACATCTTGCCAACGGACGTGCACTGCCAGTATAGATACAGTACATGCACCTTTATTGATGTGTTCTGGTCTGTTAGACAACCCATTCAAATGGTATCTGTTTGGGTGTGGGTGCGCATCCCCAAATTCACACCATTATCATTCAGGAAAATGCACCCGCACGCACATGGATATCAAATTGGGAGCACCAGCTGTGTCCATGCATCTGCTGTGTCCCAACTGACATGAATGGGACTGCTCTCCTGCAATGCACGGACCACCTGTGCATCCCATGCAGGCAAAACACTGCCCTTGTATGGGTATATGTTAAAGTACAACCACCACCATTACATTGGTGGTGCCTGTAAATGCATCTGTTATACTGGCAATCCAAGTTCATTTCCACCATTACACTGGTGGTCATTATTAATGCATCTGTCGCATTTGTAGTGAATGTAAATTCCCCCACTAAAGTATTAATTTAACCTCTACACTGGTGGTTGACATGAATGCCTTCTTTACTTTGGTGTCCATTGAAATGAAGGGCCTATATACAAGGATATTAATGGTCAGTAGTTACTGTACTTACCTGAAACAGGCTCTCCTCTGGACATGCTGATTTCCACGCCCTCTGAAACAAATGTATGATCAGGTTACCACCCACAAAACCTGGAAGCCAGTCAAGGCTTTACTACACTGAAATGACTCTGATCATCATCTGGTCACTAAGCGTTCTGGGGGCCCATTGCTGGCAGTCCCAGGATCTCTGTAGCCCCTTTTTGCCTGCACGGCTTATGGGCCAACCACTGCAACTGTAAGCAGATTCAGCAGGTATATATCATTAATGTGATTAGGTGAAACCGCTGTCTCTGATCATATAACTCTGCATAATGCAATCGTAGAATGACAGAGGGCAGTGTTCAGAACCTGGCAGTAAACGCCCCATGCCATTTCAGGTTCTGATTAAAGCCGAACTCCAGTCATCCCTTGTTTTCTTTAAGTTTCTTGTCTACATGCGCTCGCTGTTCACATCATTGTTCTTTCAAAGTATGCAAAATCTCAAGGAACTGCAATCTAACTTGTAAAAAACATAAATGTTACCTATCAATAGGACACCTGAGTCTGGGAAGATGCACACAACCACTTTGAACAAATTAACTTCACATTTGAAGCTTCCCTTCACATTAGAGGTATTTTCATCACATCAAAGTCCCCGTCACATCAAAGTTCCCCATTCACATCAGAGGTCCCCTCATCACATCAAAGTTCCCCCTTCACTTCAAAAGTCCCCCCATCACAACTGAGTTCCCCTTCATATCAGAGGTCCCCCCATCATATCAAAGTTCCCCTTCACATCAGAGGTCCTCCCATCACATCAAAGTTCCCTCTTCATATCAGAGGTTCTCCCATCACATCGATGTTTCCCCTTCTCATCAGAGGTCCCCCCATCACACCAAAGTTCCTCCTATACATCAAGAGTCCCCCCATCACAACAGAGTGCCCCTTCATATCAGAGGTCCCCCCATCATATCAAGGTTCCCCCTTCACATCAGAGGTCTCTCATTACATCAAAGTTCCCCCTTCACATCAGAGGTCCCCGCATTACGTCAAAGTTCCCCCTATACATCAAGAGTCCCCTCATCAAAACGGAGTGCCCCTTCATATCAGAGGTCCTCTCATCACATCAAGGTTCCCCCTTCATATCAGAGGTTCTCCCATCGCATCAAAGTTCCCTCTTCACATCAGAGGTCATCCCATCACATCAAAGTTCCCCCTATATATCAAGAGTCCTCCCATCAAAACAGAGTGCCCCTTCATATCAGAGGTCCTCTCATCACATCAAAGTTCCCCCTTCACATCAATGGTCCCCCCATCACAATAGAATGCCCCTTCACATTGGCGGTCCCCCCATCATATCAAAGTTCTCCTATCACATCAGAGTCCTCCTGTGAGAAACCACATTACATCAGAGTAAATCTATGACAAAATCCCCCGTCACATCAGAGGCTCCCCATCATACCACAATCACCTCAGAATCACAAAGTCCTCTCATCCTTCTCTGATTCAGAGAACACTGGGTCTCTCACAGCACTCTGGAGGAACCCAAATGGAAGCACCATAGCACCCCATTTAGGAAACACTGGTCTAGGTACTGTGAGTCAGCACTTCTGCTTGTAGTCACTATCGGGACTGAATGTTCCAGGGCACTGTGCAGGAACACAATTGGTCACCCAATAAAAGGAAGCACCAAGTAAAGCCCTACACTGCAATCAGGTGTTCTTTTAACAAAAGGCACATGTTAAAAAAGATTACAAAAAAAACTTTATAAACTATATTAAAGTGACTGTAAAGGATCATTTAAAAAAAAAAAACATTTGTGAGATGGGGAAACAGCTCTCATTGTTTGAATACTGCTTGTGTGGAGTAAATTAAATGTTTTGACTGACATTCTGCAGTTTAGCCACAAGATGTCACTGTTTTTCTAACACAGCCTCAGACTGCATAGATATTTCTATATTCATGAAGAGGTGGAGTTTTCACAGAGTTGAGGGAACAGGAAGAGGAGAGAGAGCAGCCATGTTTAGAGGATGGTGAATGCAGGGGCCATGTGAGCTTAGAATCTGATGACATCCAGGTGTGGAAGCATCCCTCCATAACAGAGCTGCAGCTAAGTGAAGCTGATGAGATTGCTGCCAGGAAGCTGATGAGATTTCTGCCAGGAATGCTGATGAGAGCAGAGGAACTAAGCAACATATACGGCAAGACTGCATGCTTGTTGGAGAGACAATTGTTCTGAGTCACCAGCGGATGCAAAGCAGACCCGGGTCGGTAAGATCATGCACACACCTCATTTCAGTGTTGGCGCCTTGAGACTGAGTCCAGGCCTATAGTTAGTTAGTTAGGGTCTCTGTTTGTGTCAGGCCACAAGTGTTATTACTGATTATTGGAAGGACTCCACAACTTAAAGTGACATTTCACATTGGAGAGCTGATAAACTCCCACAAACTCAAGTCAGACTGGCGTTTGCTCAGAAGGAATACTCAGGCACGTGCTACAGGACCAGTTATGGGAGAGGGAATACTGTAGATTTATGTAAGATTGTAAGCTGTTGTGCTGCACTGCAGGCTAACCCATACCGTACATCCATACACTGATTCCTGCTCTTTTAGGGTAATAACAGGTAAGGTGTGGCAGCTTAGTTGTGCCCCCAGTAGGTAAATTACTTCACTTTCTACCTTCATCCATCAGGAGGCGCCGTGCTGTACAGCACAAGGGTCTCAGCCTTTGGGCTGGGTGTATGTACAATTTATTGTATATTCCAGCATTTGTGGTTGTGTTTATTTGCCACATCTAAGTAAAATTCTGTTGTGGCAAAAGCTGGTGTTGGGGTTGCTTTCCTCGTTCGTGACTTCACTGTATCCTGGGGAGCCCACCCCGGTACATGGCTTACACATGTAACAAACATGTTATACTTACCTGCTCTGTGCAACAGCTTTCCACTGAGCAGCCATGATCCTCCACTTCTAGGGTCCCCTGCCGGAGCTCTTGCCCCTCCTGCCTTCCAAGTGCCTCCCAAGCAAATTGCTTACTATGGGATCACTTGTGTGGGCTCGATCTGGAGGCACACTATGTGCGTTTATTACACACAGTGCAGCTTGGCTCTGCCCCCACCCCTTGCCATTGAATTTGATTGACAGAAGCAGGAGCCAATGGCTATTGCTGCCCTCACTGAGTCCAGTGAGGAAGAAGAGAGAGAACAGTGCTGCTGCTTTCGGGCACATCGCTGGATTGAGATCGGGCTCGGGTATTTAAGGGGGGGCATTGGGGGAGCTGCACCTAAAAGGAGTTTTACTTTAATGCAGAGAATGCATTTAGGTAAAAAAAACCTTTATCCTTTACAACCACATTAAAACTGATACAAGATTTTGATCATTGGCTTTAGATCTATTTTAAAGAGACATTAAAGCTTCATTTATTTTCTTTTAAATAACAAACATGCATATACTTACCTGCTCTGTGCAATGGTTTTGCACAGAGGAGCCCAGATCCTCTACTTTTCGGGTCCCTGCTGGCATTCCTGGCTTCTCCCCCTCGAGTAGTGCCCCCAGGTAAAGCCTCTTGCCCTGGGGGCACCTCTCAGTGCTCATCCCTGATCTGCTGCTCTCTGCATCAATAAGACACATAGAGCCGTGGCTTAGACCTGCCACCACTCTCTCCTCATTGGCTCACTGGCTGTGACTGACAGCAGCCAATGAGGAGGAAGAGTCCCCAGACAGCAGAGGCTGTCAAGAACGGTGCTGGATCGGAGGGGGCTCAGATAAGTTTGGGGGGGGGTGGGCTCTGCACACAGAAGGTTTTTTACCTTCATGTATAGAGATACATGAAAGTGTTACTAAACCCACAACAGTAAGATCAGTCTGTATATGCAGTAAAGCGTGCTTGTTATACTCACTGTGGAACCTAAGGGGTTAATCCTCTGCATTGTGTATAAAGACTATTTGACCCTGACTTCTCTGCCCTTCTCTTGTTCAATGTCCACGCTGATAAGACAGGCGGAACCCATAGCCATTCTGCACATGCTCAGTTTGGTGTGTATTTGTTTCAGAGAGGTTTTGTTTCTTGGGAGAGTGCATGTGATCAGCACAGTAGTTGCAAAGGTTTAAGGTTTTTTACCTTAATCCCTAGCGGTCTGATTATGTCTATATTTCTGTGCTCAAAGCAGTACATTATTTTTAATGGAAATATGTAGTTTTTTTATTGTAGGCTGTAATTTTTAGGAATAACTCACTGAAATCTGTCCGAACAAGAGTCTAGTAAACATCCCCGGGTATGATAAAGCTTGAAACACGAAATCATAAATTATAATTTAATAAATAATCATAAAAAATAATAATATAATAATAATAAATTTAATTCAATAATATAATCAAACCAAAAACACTGAAATGTGAAATATAGCGCCAAGTTCGCACATCACTGAGCAAAGTCGCAGAATCGTTTTCAGTGTCTGATGAGGAATTTCCCCACGAATCATTATCACTCAATTCTGCAAGTGGTTCTGATTTACTATCGCTGTTCTCTAGCTGGTCTAAAACTGCTTTTGACCTAAAAGGACGCTTTTTAGACGCCATGGACATTTCTCAGTTTCCAGGCAGAGAGAACAGTAAAAATGCAGGCAGGGCACAGGACAAAGCACTCGGGACAAAATGTATGTGAAATGGGTTGAAACAGTAATGTTTTGCTATGTCATATTTGTTTACAAAAAAATGAGTTTTTAAAATGTTTAAATGTGCCGCCGGTTCTGGCCCTTGTATGTCCTGATGTCACAGGGACCGGAAGCCGGAGAAGATGGCCGGGGATGCTGCAGGAGGGACATCGCGGGAGAGAAGGGCAAGGTAAGTGCTGCAGGGAATCCCAGAACAACGCTGCATGGTAAGCCCGAGTGTAGCTCGGGGTTACCGCTTTTGGTACTGAAACTCTACCCCGAGCTACACTCGGGAATACCGCCAGGGAGGTTAAGGAACTTTTAGGTTGATTTATTAAAGGCAAATAGACTGTGCACTTTGTAAGTGCAGTTGCTCCAGAGCTTTGTTAATGAGCGGAAGCTTTGCTGACTTCTATCATCCAATCCTGTGCAAGCAAAACTGCTGTTTTTTTTTATTTTCCTTGCATTTGATTGGGTATTCTTTTTGCAAAGTGAAGCTTCACCTCCTTTATTAAGCCCTGGAGCAACCTAATCACATGAAAGGAAAATAAAAAAAATGGCATTTTTGCTTGTACAGTATTGGATGATAGACGTCAGCAGAGCATCCCCTCATTTACTATGCTTTGGAGCAACTGCACTTACAAAGTGCACAGTCTATTTGCCTTTAATAAATCAACCCTTACGTGTCCCGGAATGTTGGAATGGTCAGGCATGTATAAATGAGAGTCACAATTTCACTAAGAATGTCCAGCCTCAGTTAAATGTAAATCAGTAGCAATGGATAAATATTATATCCAGGCACAGCATAGTAAATTCTGGCTGCGCTAGAGGGAGCCAGTGAGTCAGCAGCTGGGAACTTGACCAGCAGAGCTGGGACATCCAGAACAATTCACAGACAGATCTTTCAATTTTATAGAGCACCAGGGAGGAAATGTGTTTCTTAAATGTTTTTCTTCTGTCTATAGTCTGTAAATAGGGTTTCAGATTGAAAAAGGAAAACAGGATTGCAGCTAAATCCCTATATTTTGACTTCAAAATTACACCACTGACCTGGAGCAAGAACAAAACAATGGAGTTATGACTTTTCTATCACTTTCATTTGTGGCATGCTTGTTCCAGGGCTATGAGTCAGAAGTGATAAGGCCAGACACAGCCAGGCAACAAGCATTGCAGAAAGACACTAAGAATGGCTGTGACCATATTTCTCTTGTGACACTCAATTCCGGTTTAAAAGAAACATCTATTCCAGTATGTATTTCTGACGTAAACGTAACATTATTATTATTATATAGTATTTATATAGCGCCAACAGTTCGCTCAGCGCTGTACATTACAATGGGAGACAATACATGAGACGGTACAATAACAATACAGTGCGATACACGAGGGGTTCGAGGGCCCTGCTCCTTGGAGCTTACAATCTAGGAGGGAGGGGATAGTGGTATGGGAGGAAAAGCTGTGGGGGATGGAGTGGTAGGAAGAGTGGAGGAGATCGGCAATTAGCTGAGGGCGGGGTAGGCTTCCTTGAAGAGATGGGTTTTCAGGGTGTGCCTAAAGGAGAGGAGAGTAGGTGATAGTCTGATGGATTGGGGTAGGAAGTTCCAGAGGATGGGTGACGCCCTGGAGAAGTCCTGGAGGCGAGCATGGGAGGAGGAGACCAGGGAACTAGAGAGAAGGAGGTCTTGTGAGGAGTGGAGAGTGCGTTTTGGGTGGTATTTGGATATTAGGTTGGTGATGTAGTTCGGGGCAGTATTATGGACAGCTTTGTACATCAGTGTTAGCATTTTGAATTTGATCCGTTGGGCAATCGGAAGCCAGTGGAGTGATTGGCAGAGGGGGGTGGCGGAAACGGAGCGGTTGGTAAGGTGGATGAGTCTGGCCGCTGTATTCAGAATCGACTGAAGCGGGGATAGCCTGTGGAGGAAGGCCAGTGAGGAGGGAGTTGCAGTAATCGAGTCGTGATATGATGAGAGAGTGGATGAGCTGTTTAGTGGTTTCTGGGGATAGGAATGAACGTATTTTGGCGATGTTGCGGAGGTGAATATAACGTATGTCACCTCCCAGCCCCCAGTTTAAAAGAATTGTCTACCTTTTGCAAACAAATTAATAAATACATCCAGGGCTGTTGCTAGAAACCACAGGACCCCATAGAGCCAACCTGACACGCCCCCCTATAAAAATATAACAGTTTACTATGCTTCAGTTCTGACTGAACACAGTGAGTGACTGGTATCGATCACTTATTGTGTTCATTCAGGAAATGAAGGGGCTGGGAAATGTGACATGTTCCCCCACACTTCATCCTGAATGATCCTATTGTGTGCTTGCAGATGACGGGGGTAAGGAGAGGAGGGCAGCCGGCAGCACTACAGGGGTGAGGGCACACAGGGGGCAATTACTGGAACCAATCCCCTGTATGGCTCTCTCTGCAGCAGCTGAAAGCCGAGGGAGGGAAAGGAGAAGAAGCCAGCTTTCAGCTGCTGCAGAGAGAGAGTCATACAGGGGATCAGTTCCAGAGATTGCTCCGCCCCTGTGTCAATTACCGTCCCTGACCACATGCAGCAGGGAGGGTGATGGTTGCGGGGGGGGGGGGGGGCAATTACTGGAACCGATCCCCTGTATGACTCTCTCTGCAGCAGCTGAAAGCCAGTGGGAGGGAGAGGAGAAGAAGCCAGCTTTCTGCTGCTGCAGAGAGAGCCATACAGGGTATCGGTTCCAGAGATTGCTCCACCCCCGTGTCAATCACCGTCCCTGACCACATCCAGTTCTCCCAGATGCCTGGGTCCCATACAGGAGGACTGGTGGTACCCCCTTATCCACAGACCTGAATGCACTCACTTTAAAGTGTTACTAAACCCACAACAGTACAATCAGTCTGTATATGTAGTAAAGCATGCTTGTTATACTCACTGTGGAACCCAGGGGCTAATCCTCCGCATTGTGTAAAAATGCTGTTTGATCCTTTCTTCTCTGATCCTTTCCTTCTTCCAGTGTCCCTCTCTTATCTCCTGATAAGACATACAGTGTGGAGACACTCTGCACATGCTCAGTTTGGTGTGTATTGCTAGAGAGGTGTTTTTTACTTATTCTTTAAAGGAATGGTGTAGCAAGCAGTATTGTATTCTGGTAACTGTATTGGGTTAATACCTGTAGTATTCAGTGCATGACTTTCCTTTTTGATTTCATGCCTGTATCTATATTTTCTCACACATTCACATGCAGGTCAAGCTGCCTAGTAAAATTGGCAGTTAGGGGTGTGGAGACAAACCATAAAACATGGAAGGGGGTGCTTACATCGGGCAGCTTCTATTCATGTGGTTGCTGTAACTGCTCAAAGTAATTGTAAAGTTATATATTTTTTTTAAAATAACAAACATGCTATATTTACCCATTGTGTGCAACGGTTTTGCACAGAACGGTCCCGAGCCCTATATTTTGGGGTCCCCTGTCAAAGATCTCCACTTCTCCTCTTCTTTGAGTGCCACCATAGCAAGCCTCTTGCTATGGGGGCACTCATGCGGGCTTGATCCTGAGCCGAGCTGTGTGCATCTATTGAAACACACAGTGTGCTTTTGCCCCCCCACTCCCTCCTAACAGGATTAGATTCACAGCAGCAGGAGCCTATGCCTCCATGTCATGTGAAGGGAGAGAGGAAGAGAGAGAAAGAGAGAGAGAGGGAGGGGGAGAGAGGGAGGGAGGGAGAGGGGGAGAGATAGGGGGAGGGGGAGAGAGGGAGGGGGAGAGAGGGAGAGAGAGGAAGGGGGAGAGAGAGAGGGGGGTGAGAGAGAGAGAGAGGGGGGAGAGGGAGAGAGAAAGGGGGAGAGAGATGCTGCTCTCGGGCACAGCACTAGATTGCGATCGGGCTCAGATAAGTATTCAGAAGGGGGCTGGGGGGGATCTGAACATGGATTGTTATTTCTGCCCTATAGCACAAGTACTGCTACAGGTCGGCACAGCTGCGCAAAATCACGTATATGTACTTCCGGGTAGGGACCGCACACGCCGCACATATGTGAACCCTTCCTGCGCAACGGCTGCTGGGGATGTCAATCACCAGGTCCTGGCCGGCGATTCCTGGCTGGGACTCAGTGATCATCAGCTGGGCTGAGAGGGGAGAGACCTGTGTGTAAGTAACACAGATCTCTCTCCTGTCAGCATGGACATGCTGCTTTGTATCTCTCTGCACAGCATGTCTCCCAAGTAAAACACACACAGCACACAGTTAACCCTTTGATCACCCCAGATGTTAACCCCTTCCTGCCCAGTGCCATTAGTACAGTGTCGGTGCTTTTTATTAGCACTGATCACTGTATTAGTGTCACTGGGGATGTCAGTGGCAGTTAGTCAGTTTCCACCCAGTGTCAGAATGCCCGCCGCAGTCCCAGCTATAAGCCACTGTCAATAGTATAGGTGTTAAAAAAGGAAAAGAAAAGAAAATTCCAGTATCCATACCGCCATTTGTAGATGCTATAACTTTCACATAAACCAATTAATATACACTTATTGGGATTTTTTTTAGCAAAGACATGGAGCAGAATAGATTTTGCCCTAAATTTATGAAGAAATTAGATTTTTTTTGTTGGATGTTTTATAGCAAAAAGTCAAAATTATTGTGTTTTTTTTTTCAAAATTCTCATTTTTTTTTGTTTGTAGTGCAAAAAATAAAAAAACGCACAGGCGATCAAATACCACCGAAAGAAAGCTCTATTTGTTTGAAGAGAATTACATAAATTTCATTTATGTACAGCGTTGCATGACCGTGCAATTGTTAAAGTAACGCAGTTAAAGTAATGCAGCGCCGTATCGCAAACAATGGCCTGGTCAGGAAGGGGGGGTAAATCCTCTGGAGGGCAAGTGGCTAAAGTGGAACTATACTCGCGTTGGATCCAACCATGCGGCATCTCAGAGCTCCCTACCTGGCTGCTGTCATCTTCGGGCGGGACTCGATTGCCGGCTGTTTTGATTGGCCAGGCGAGGATGATGTCATTCCCATGCATGGGCAGGAGATCAGTCAGATTCGGCATTGCTGAATTCGTACAGCGAGCCTCCGCAGCTCACTGTACATGGGGGGGGGGGCAGGCAGATAGGAAACTTTTATTTAGAAAAGACAAAGCATGTCTCTTTTGCATTAAAATTCCTACTTATTCGCCCTTTTTGAATTTGTTTACCTAAAGTTCCACTTGAGCCCTGGTTCACATCTATGCGGCTGTGCGGGCCGCGTTTTGCGCGGACACAAGAGTCCATTCATTTGAATGGACTCCCGTGCCCCGTGACACGCAGGGAGGAAGTTCCTGCACTTTTTGTGAGAATGCAGCTCGCAGGGGAACGTCGGTTCCCAGTACAGCTGCGTTTTCCAGTGCGGGCGGCGTACAATTATAACTAATGGCACCCACAGGTCCGCGTTTCCCTGTGCGGGGTTGGTGTGGCTACACAGATTTTCGTGTGGATCCGCAGCGGCACCACCCACACAGATGTGAACCTAGCCTTAGTGCAGAGAATGCATTAACCCCCCCCCCCCGGCGGTATTCCCGAGTGTAGCTCGGGGTTAACGTTCAGTACCAGAAGCGGTAACCCCGAGCTACACTCGGGAATACTCTGCAGCGTTGCTCTGGGATCCCTCCAGCACTTACCTTGTCCTGCGCTCCCGTGATGTCCCCCCTGCAGTGTCCCCGGCCATGTCTTCTGGCCGATGCCGGCATCTGTCTTCCGGGTTCCCTTCCCTGCATGCATCGGGACGATTCAAAAATGTAAAAATGTGACATTCACTAAATACACTAAAATCTGATAGTAAAACATTACTGTATCAAACCATTTCACATACATTTTGTCCCGAGTGCTTTGTCCTGTGCCCTGCCTGCATTTTTACTGTTGTTTCTGCCTGGAAACTGAGAAACGTCCATGGCGTCCAAGAAGCGTCCCTTTAGGTCAGTAAAAAAAAGCGTCCCTTTAGCGATAGTAAATCAGAACCACTTGCAGAATTGAGTGATAATGATTCGTGGGGAAATTTGTCATCAGACACTGAAAACAATTTTGTGACTTTGCTCAGTGATGTGTGAACTTGGTGCTATTTTTAAAATTTCAGTGTTTTCGGTTTGATTATATTATTGAATTACATTTATTATTATTATATTATTATTTTTTATGATTATTTATTATATTATAATTTATGATTTCGTGTTTCAAATTTTATCATACCCGGGATGTTTAATAGACTTTTGTTCGGACAGATTTCAGTGAGTTATTCCTAGGAATTACAGGCCTACAATAAAAAAACAACATATTTCCATTGAAAACAATGTACCGCTTTGAGCACAGAAATATGGACATAATCAGACCGCTAGGGATTAAGGTAAAAAAACCTTAAACCTTTGTAACTACTTTAAATGTTTCAAGTTTATGTTATTTGTCATGTACTTTAAGTCCATTTAAAACTACATATGCAGCAAAGACTATCCTGTCTATATGGTGACAACACCGCTGCACAATTTCACTGCAGGATGAACAACGTTGTCAGCATGTTAAAGGAAGTGAAAAACTAACAGATCAGTTAGCGCAACCTACAGGTAATAGGAGTTATTAGGGGCGGACTGACCATTTGGAAACTCGGGCACTGCCCGAGGGCCCGGGGTCAGTAGGGGGCCCCATGAGATGCCCCTGGTACCTTTTTCATAGGCTTTTTTGAGTTTTGGCAAGGACACAGGGGCCCCATGATCCCCTATTGCCCGGGGGCCCCATGAGTTGTCAGTCCTCCCCTGGGAGTTATGCAAATATCAAAATGCTTTCATGAACGAGCGTCAGTCAGGATGAGTTCATAAGCAGATTGCATTTGCATGGTGACTTCCCTAGGTAACATCCATATGTAATGCTGAGCCTTCATGAGTGAAAGAACTGAAATCCAATGAATGAAAGGGACAGACTAGGCACCGTCAGGCTGAAGAGGAAAGGGCTAGATCAACCATTCTCAACCGGGATTCTGTGGCAACCTAGGATTCTTCCAAAGGTTGCAGGGAATCCTTGAGCTGTGGCTGTCTTGACCTCCCAATTGATGGTGCCTGCAAATTTCCAGGACCAATGTCCCTAGGTAAAGCCAGCAGCATTCCATAGATAAAGCCAGCAGCATGACATTAATGCTCTTTTCTAGTGATCTGTAAGGTTGGCATTTATTCACCACTGTATGGCCCCTTTCACATGGTTGGACCATCTGTCCATTTTTCATCCATCCGTTGACAGATGAAAAACAGACAGCAATGTATTTTTATGGACCAATGGTTGTGGATGGATGATCATCCGTTTATCATCCGGATATATCCGTGTCCATTCCAGTCTTTTTTTTTTTAAACGGCAGGGGTACGTCCAGAACTGTTGAAATGGAACGGATGTAAATGGATGCCGTCTGTTTATATCTGTTTCATTTCTGTCCGTTTTTTGTGTAGAGAAAAAATATTTTGTTTATACTTTTGTCACCTCTGATTGGTGAACTGAACTGAACGGAAGTGAAAACTGACATAAACTGACTTAGGAGCCTTACACATGAACGTTTTTTGTCCATTCTTTTATCCATCTGTTGATGGATGAACAACGGACATCAATGCGTCTCTAGGAAAAAACAAATGTAAACGGATGATCATCCGTTTACATCTGCAGCCATCAACATCTCTTTTTTGGAACAGATCAAAGCCCTATTATTGTTCCATTTAAAAAAAAACGGAACTGATGATAAATGGATGTAGCGGACAAACGATACATTTTTGCATTCGGTTTTGCATTTGAAGTGGATATAAAAAGCTGTTGTAAAAACTGATGACTGATGGAAAACTGATATATAAACAGATGTAAACAGATAAAAAAAAAAAAGCTGATGTAAACTGATGAAAAACTGATATTTTTTTTCTTTGACAAAATGTGACTGAAATGATGAAAAAAAAAACCAAATTCCCATGTGAAAGGAGCCTAATGCACACACACAATAAGAAAATCGTACCAAAAAATTTTGCTGAACCACTGATCGAACGATTTTCTCTTCGTTGATGAGCAGGATGTTTTAACTGAACGATATTGTGAATGAAAAAAATCCGGTTGAACAACAGTGAAAAATGTTGTTGTTTTGCATACGAACAACTGATTTTCTATGCGGTGGTATGACGGTCGTCCGAAAAAAAATCTATCAAGCGCTATCACGCATGAGCGGAAACAGAAGATGAGTCGGATGTTTGTGTCCAAGGAATCTTCGTACACATGAACGAAAAATCCAAATGTTAAAAGTAGATTGTCCTAATGAGATAATGAAAGCAGAATTCTGCAGATTCTATTTTATGTATCACTATTTATGTATATAGGTCATGTAATAAACGATATTATACTCATTGCTGGTAATCGTGTATATCGCTCGTTCTGGCCGGAAGGGCGTGGCTACAAGGTCACACGCACACTGCGTCACTTCCACTTGTACTGAAGACATCAACACTACGTATTGCCCGCCGAACGATTTTTTTTAGATTGGTTAATGTGGGCCACGATTTCAACCAACGAACGAATGCCTCTCGATCGTCGGATGACTGATTGGTCGATTTTCTAATCATGTATTTCCACCTTTACTTTCAAGCAGGACTACAGGCAAAACTTTTTTTTTTTTTGGATAAAGGAAGGGAGAGTTATAACCCGCCATCTGTGCCCCAATGAAGGCGTTTTCCCTTCACTTCCTGTCCCATAGGAAGTGAGAGGAAATCCCTGCAAAGTAAAGTAATTCCTTGGGGACCCCCAAGTCACAAGAACTAGTGTCCCCATTATTAGATTTCTCCTATATTACTTTTTTTGGGGACAACCCAAAATTTGGGATTATCTTTCACTTTCGCATATAACGGTAAATGGGACAACTGTAGCCAAAACTAAAGAACATTTTTGCCTTTAGTTATACTTTCAGTATGGGTTCTCCAAGACCTAGAGAATGTTTAGAGCTTCCTCTGGGGTGAGAAGGTTGAGAAAGGCTGGGCTAGATGATACTAAATGAGGTGGGCTCTATCCAGTGGTGTATTTAGGATTTGTGCTGCCCTAGGCAACACAAAAATTGGCGCACTCCCCTCCCGTAGAAAGAGCCTGACATTGATCAAGAACACCCCTGACCTCCACCCAAGCATTCCACTACCACTGCCCCCCATACACCAGCCACCATCCCCCATGGTGAGAGAGAGAAAGACACCTTCACAGCTCCAGACATCTCCAGGAACGAGAGTCCGGCTGTGCATACACCGTCATGAAACCCACAGCATCTCTCAGAACCCACCAGGTCCCCATGCCACATGTGTCCCTTCTTCCATCCCTTCTTCCAAGGGGCAGTGCTGCCCCCCCTGAAAAATGCCGC